CACACCGCCAAACCCTGTGCAGGGGGTTTCTTTGCCCCCTCCCCATCTTTTTTTTTTAATTTAATTTAATTTAATTTAATTTAATTTTATTTTATTTTATTTTATTTTATTTTATGATTTCACTTCATTTCATTTCATTTTATTTTATTTTTTTACCCGCCCCCGTGGTGCCACTTCTTGCCTTAAACCGTCTCGGTTCGGTTATTTAACGCTGCTTTGCTATCTCTGATGAAACCAATGCGTGATGGTGGTGGGCAACCTTCCACAAGTGAGGCGGGCCGCTAAAAGTTCTGATTTATGTTTTTCAGGCGTATTCCTCTATTTACTGTTTGTTTTTTTTTTTCTTCTCAAGTATTAAAAAGTCATTCATGTTTCCCTCGACCCGACACCTGGTGGAGGTTCTAATGCTTTTTTTACAACCGAAGGTGTTCGGCTGTGCTCTGCGGGTTTCTTAGGACTTTTTATGTTTTTGCACCATCTTGTGGTAAGCCTTCATACTTCCTTAGATTGTAGAATCATAGAAACGCTTAAGTTGGAAAAGAGTAAGATCATCGAGTCCAACCATAAAAAGATAACTTGCAAGAGAAGTGGAGGTGTTTTCTCTGCTGCTAATAGGTTTTCCTTTTGCTCTCATGTCTTTAGATGAAGTTGGTCTCACGCATGTGTTTATTTGCACGTTTTTCCTCTTTTCTGCAATCTAGAAGATAATCCTGTCCTCCACGAGTGACAGCAACCACAACTCCGTGGTCTGCGGTTGCTGTAGGACGTGTGAAAGCCGTCAGCCAGACGGGATGCAACATCCATTCGTGGAGCTCAGGCCACAGCTCCTGCCCTTCCAGTTCTGGGTTCATTCCCGCTGTCCACCTCTCTTGGAGATGACAAAGAGCAAAGCACAGCAGTTGCCTTTTCCAGGAAGATGAAGACCCAAATGTTGCTAACCCAGTGGTTATTCATGTGTTTGGGTTTTTTTTTGTATCTTTTGTATGTTGGGGGTTTTTTTTTGTATCTGTGTAGATCAGGAAGTGGACCTTCCTACATAATTGGGGTACGATGGGCGCTCATTTATTTTCTGATACATGTGATGTGTTTTGTATACTGATGGTGTTTGCCCATTCCAGACTTGTTGAAGGATAAAATAGGTTGCTAAGCTGCTGTAAACCCTCATCTGCAGACCCTGTAGCCCTTACTCGTCTCCCGTCTCTCTAGATTCCTGTCTTTTGCCCATCCACACTGAGACATACAACTTGAGAATACCCCAGGCGCTGTCGGGATGTGGGATGAGCTCCAGGCAATTCCTACAAGCAGGCTGTTAGGAAGATTGCACCATTTGTGAGCTTGTGGGTCATCTTTTAGGACTTCAGGTTTTGCCAATTTGCAGACAGTTACAAGCCCTGACCGTGCATCATACTGAGCAGCAGACAGCTCTTTCCTCTTCCTGGATTGCTGTCCAGAGGAAAAGGCATCGGATGGTAGTAGCCCTACTTAAGGCATGCTGGACATGTTGAGAACACCACTGTTAAATCTAATTTTTATTGAAACAGTGAGACGGCTGCAATTTGGAGCAACTTCCGATGGCTGCAGGTATGGGCGAGCCTTCTTGGATGTTTTTCCGAACGCACAGAACTGAGTCCACTGAAATTAGTGGGACATTTGGGTACCCATGCAGTACAAAATCTCACAGGCTTTGAAGCTCTCTAATTTCCATATATTGCTATGCTGTTGTTCTGAGTTAATTACAAAACATCCTGAGTGATCAGATGTGCTGATTTACATGAAAGTTGACCCAGTTTCCAAGACTAATTCTAAATTCCTGTTAAAGCTTGTTAAAAAAAAAAAAAATCCATTTCATATTCAGTGTGCGCTATGTATACGTATACACCCAAAGCATCTGAGCTGAGATCTGCTCTTGTTTGAAATAATGACCGTCCTTCTCCTAGTACTTCAATCAGGAAACTTTTCTCTGTTGTTGCTTGGTTGTTGGTTTTTTTTTTTAATTATTTTATCCTTATTATCTGTTCCCTAAAACTTGAGTCTCCTTCCTGCAGCCCTTCACCTCCGTGTCCTTTGGGTAAGGAGAATGAACTGGAAACAGCGTTTCCTGTCTTACATCCTGTTAGTTATCGTGGGCACAGCTATAAAAGCCCAAATCACAAGATTAAGAATCTGGCTGTATTTGGTATGTTAACTTAAAGTCTGAGATTCAGGCGAGGTAAGAAGCTCTTGTGCAGCAGATGCTTTTAGACCTGGTGAGTTCAGACAACAGCTTTGAGTTCATCAGAACAGCTCAGAAATCAGCACACAAATGAAACGATCCATATCTTGGTCTCTTGTATAATATATATGTATATACTTATACAGAAATCTCCCGTCACCCACTTGGGCTTGCTCTCCTGCCCATCTCTCACCCACATGCCCATCAACCTCCCCCTCCTCGTGTCTCTAACAGGGAACAATTATTAACCCCGGGTGGGAGCCCACTGCTCAGCCCTTCTCCCCGCTGGCCGCCCGCCTCCTCCTACCCGGGTTGTCCTCAATTTTCTGGGCCCGTTTCCCACCAGAATTGCAAACCACTGTCTCCTTGCTGCTCTACTTTCTGGTCCCACGCTGGTTGGTTTCCAGCCACCTTCTACATCACCACACCATTATATATGGTTACATGTAATTTAAGTCTGGAGCACTAAACAGGCTGACACAATTTGCTTAAGCGTGTGTTATGAATAACAAGCTTTAGATCGGCCGTTCTGCAGAATGGTGTCGTATGTGTGTGTATTCATGCATTTCCCACATCCTGCCAAAAGTCACACGCACATTCAGTCGCTGCAGGGTTTTTTTTTTTATTTTTTTTAGTATTTCTAATAGTATGCTAGTCCTTTCGGCCTCATAATTTGTTTCGTGCCATCTTGTGGCAAACGGGGTGAACTGCCTGCGCTGCCTTTTACGAGCCTTTTGCCTGTGCAT